ACGGCTTCCACCCATTTTTGCAAGCAGAGCGTGACCTCTACGTGGTTGCTGCTCGCAACACTGCCAAATTTGTGGCGGCCTCGCACCTTGGCCTCAGGCTGAATTCCTTACGGCTCGAGCTGCCCCTGTGTTTGCAGTAGCTGAAAGGACGTGGGCTGGTTGACATGCAAACGTTCCTACTTATGTCATGCTTGTACTGGGTACTCTTTGTCAAAGCGGTCGCGGAACTTCAGATGCTCTGCTTGACCTAGGATGCAGCCTGTCGGTTCCGATCTAATTATCGGACTTTGTTTCACTTCTTAGGGGCCCTTGGACATGCATGCTGCAGTTCGGTGTCATGATGGGGAGCGGACATGTAATGAGGGAACCGGAACCCTTACACCCATCCAGCCTGACGACACTCTTGCATACAGTTCAGTTCCAAGGGATGCCTTCGCGCTGGGAAAGAGCTGCTCTCAGGATGATTTTCATCTTTTCGGGAGTTGGCTTCAAGTGCCGGTAGTTCATGGCTGAAGGATGTCAGGGTTCTGAGACTGTCGAGCTTTTGCGACGTCGTTTCGAGGCCCGCGAGGCTCCAAGATCCCACTCTCGCCTGATGCAGGATGAGTATCTTTCTGCCGCGAATGCTGCTGCCGAGAGCACCTGACGTCGTCTCGCGACCAAAATCGTGACTTTTCAGGTGGCACTATGCACTTGCTGTGCATTGAGAGCAGGGAGCATGCGTGCTGGAGCACACGAAGATTTGCACGTTGCTGCCTCTTGCTACTGCTGGGCTCAACGAAGCGTTAGTTGGACGGTTCGCTGCCACAGTGTTTGCCATGGCCACCAGATCGCGACCTGCGTGTAGGATTGCTCTGGCAGCACTTACGATTGCTTTCGTGGCACAGCCGGGGGCCCAGTTGGAATGTTGCAGCAGGGATGGCATCACCAGGTGAAGAGTCCATGACAGCCAGCGAGAAAGAGGAAGAAGTAGTGAAGAAGTACGATATCAGTGCTTTTGAATTCTCGATGAGAGATGTCAGGTCCCTTGACTTTGCTGGCTTCGGCAGCCGAGCACGCAGCCCCCGCACTGCCCTTCATGCTGTCTGTGCGCAAGTGAAAGAACCGCCAGCCGAAGGCCTGAGCCTTGCCTCACAGAATCGTGGAACAGGACCGTAGCCCAACACATCCCTATAGCAGGCAGAGAGTGTGGTTGCCCTTGGTGGTAGAGCAGGTACGATGCAGGAGACAATGCCAGTGGTGAGTAGTGCGATGAAGCGGTCTTCTTCTTGGAACTAGGCTAGCCTTGCTATATTTCACTGCTCAACATGCTGCAGAGTCTCGTGCTCCAAAAGGTCAACTCTCGCGGCTCCTTGTGACTGTCCTAGGAACTGAGGTACAAGTCTGAGTTGCTATCAGTCCTTGACATACTGAAACCCTACTTATGCCTGCCATGAACCGTGACACTAGCAGTGGACAGGTGACCGAGTCGTCGTTGATGGCAGCGACGGGCCGATCGCGGCTTGTCACATGATGCAGATAGCCCATTCCTCTTGAGTGTTCATTGAGTGGTGAGGTCGTGGCAAAAATCGACGGCAAGTACTACGCCGTGGCTTGTCTGGACAGTACACACATAGAGTGCTCAAGAAGACAACATGCAGCAGCACCGTGCAGCAGACTCGCTGCTGCTCCCAAAACCCTGAACAGAAGTCTTCTGGTATTTCGAGGGGGAGGTGCTGAGCCATGCTGAGCCTTTTTCTTCGCGCCAGGTGGATGCAAAGTGTCCTCATCTCAACCTGCCTATGAAAAAGGGCAAGATCGAAAATGGGCAGCTTAGCTCAAAAAGGGTGCATTTCGGCCCTGTTGGCCCTGTTCCCAAAGCTTGAAAGCACAATCCCAGCGTGCTCCAGACATATCTTTGGCTTGCGCACACGGGGATGGACACGACTGCAATCGACCCGTTTGCCCGCATTCCCAGCAGCCTGTTTCCGCCATCTTCGAAGTTCCCTGCAGCAACGAAGTCGATGAGACACGCCCCCTGGCCCCATGAACTAGATGTTGGAGACTTCTGCACAGCTTTCTCGCGAGCCGCGTGCCGTCATCAGGCCGGATGGTCCGAGGCTCACCTGCAACTTCCACAACTCGCAGCCTCGGTCTCAATTGCTCAAGTGCCAGTAGACTGTTGAGATGTGTCATTATGTTGCTTGGTATGAGTTGCAGAAGCACGTTCGATAATGTATCTAACAGGCAGAGCCTCCTGTGCGTGCCAGGTTTAACATGAAGGACGGCTTGTGCACAAGGCTGTCCGGTCTTGAGAAAGTGATGAAGCCATCGGCCAGACTGATTTCGTAGCATACGGTTTGTGCACGGACAAGTACGGACAGGATGAAGCGATCGTGGCACATCTCTCACCACTGCGCATCGTTTGGTTCAGCGAGTTTCGCAGCTTCGAGCGTGGGGATATTGCACTGTTGGAGACCCAGATTTGGTCATGTTGGAAATCGCATGCAATTTCCCTAAGACTCGTGGTACGGATCAGCTAGGCAAAGCCGATCGTGGTCGTCTTGTACAAGAAAAGGTTCTCCATCCTGTGTCCCAGACCGTCAGCTGCAGTAAGCGCAGGTGGGTCACTGGCGCTCTGGGCTTCGAAAATGATTTCATCGCCGGGGTAATGCTGGAATCTCGGCTGGGTGCTTGCTCCGGCCGCTACCTCGAGCCGTGCGTGCCGAATCTTCTTATATTGCATGCCCAGGGACCCAACAAGTCCCAAAAGGCAACTTCCACGCCCATGCTCTCTGTCTTCCGACAATAGAGCATCGTAGAGCATCGCTCTCTGAGGGAGATCAATAAGAGACCAGATTCAGATGGCTCGTACCTGCTCAAGCTTCACTCTCGGTCTGGCCCCAGAGAGCCAGACAAAGCTTCAGGTCCAATGTGGGCGGCGAGAAAAAGAATCTGCAAGCTTACGAGGCCATGAGTCCATGAGGACAAAGCGGCGATGATTTGATTGCTGCATGTTGGTGTACCACTTACAGCTTGCAGCGAATGCATAGCCAGTGTCACGACACAGCACATCAGAGAAGCGTAGGAAGAGGGAGAAAGAGTCCCGGCTGTCTTGATACCTTTGTCGGACGTGTGCTTTCAGAAATCTGCAATCACGTTGATAGTGAAGTTACTTTGCCACATTTTGCCGCCAGGTCATTGGTATGAATAGTCCGGGTCATTTGTGTGTTGTTGCTCGTGCTGTCTTCTGAACACCAGGAGATGGGGAGATTTTATGTGTTGCGCCTTGTATTCCGGACCGCGCACAAGCCCCGATGAGGAACACGCGCCGCATGGTTCAACCTCTCAAGAAGCAAACAGGCCCAGACGACAGATCCCAGTATATGATACGTGAAGGGCAAGCTATGGCATGCTACTGGACGGCGACATGTAGACCAGTAAACTCAACAGAAAGGGACGCTGCCTGTTGACTACGGCCGAAGCATTCCCTTTCACTGATGAGATCGTCGTATTAGACCTTGCCAGGCTTGTCACAGTAGTGTCGCAGGAAATCGTAGACGGCTCCTGCGTTGGCTTGACAGGTCGTTGAAGCGGACGCCGGGCCCTTGGGTCTGGTTCGAGGGCCTCAATAGGTGCCATGCGACTTTCTGTCAGATCAAGTTCTTGCCTTCTGGGATTCCACATTACATGGGGCCCGCCTTTGGAAGAAACCGTATTACAAGGATGCAGTGTCGAGTTGGATCCGATTCCGCGGTGTCTCTCCAACTGTGGCTCAGTATGCGGGCAGTTTAGAAGGCTGGCTTTCGAGTAAAGACCTGCGGGCACATGTTTCTCGAGAACAGCTACTTCATGGTAAGTCTGTCACACCAAATGGTTATTGTTACTGTTGTCATTATCATAACAATTATGACTAGTTATTGGTGTTATTCTTTTTAATGTTTTTATTATTCAGGGTCGTGGGGCCTGCCGCAACAAGGATGGATCCCTTTCTGTGGTGCTTCCCAGCTCGTGACGAACATCGAGCATTCAGCTTGGCCGTCATTGTACATACTATATATAAGGAGAAGTAGTAGGAGTAGGGAAAACAATGAAACATGAAGGGGTACGGACTGCAACAGGTGTCCGAGTTGTCTCGCTGACAGCTGTGTTGGCAGTGAAAAGAGACCGCTCTTCTTGTCATGACTGGTGTGCGCATCTCGAGTCCTTTCTGGCATTTCTGCTAGCCCACCTGGCAGCTGCAGCACTGGACGGTCGAAACCAGAGGCTCAAAAATGCGTTGCCTCCCAATCTGCACGTTGGAGCATGCGCCCGCAAGCAATACACACTGCAGGATGGCAAGTCCCTATAGCCTATAGCCATACAGCCCACGAGTAAATCCATGGTAAATGCATGAAGGGATTCTTACATCAAGTGTTGTAAACAGACAAGTCAAACAGTGCTATGCCTTTGTAACTGCTGCAGCACCAAGCTAGCTCAACTTGGGATAGCCGCCGGTATCTGGCACCAAGTGACAACTTCCCCAAGCCCATTCCATAGTCCTCAGTCAAGAAGCTCGTTGTCTAAGCTATGTCTGCCGCCCTGCTTCCTCCAGAGGTGGAGCGTGCCACTGGGCGCAGAGGGTGACTTGTGTGAGGCAGCGGCACAGTCAAGCGAGAGCACTGCGAGACCTGGGCCGAGGCATTTCGGCAGAAGCCTGGGCTGCGAGAATCTTTGGATGAGGTGCACGGCTTAGGGTTTAGGGTATCAGCAGCAGGCAAACGACCTGGGCTAGGCTTTGGCCTTCGGCAAGAAAGAGCTAAGCAACCTCACTTGTTTGTTCGGTGGCGTCTGGCTCAGCGGCAGCACTGAACGCCTATGTGCACATTCTCCCCGCGGGCCATTTCGCGGGAGAGGTGGCATGAGTAATTAAACCTGCACCTGATCTTGCTTGCAGTTGGTGGGGAAGACTTCTGGCGTGTACCTGTAGCCTGCTCCTGCAGCTTAAGCCCAATTAATTTAATGATACAAGACTTTCAGGGATGGTTCGAGCGTGCTTTGCGCATGGCGCCCTTGCGCAGCTGGCTTTGCCTGTGTTGTTGACGCTGGCGAGTGCGGGCGACGGCATACCCATCAAAGCGCATCTTGGCAGCGATCCTTTCAGCACCACCGAGGCTTTTGTGTGTTCAAACATACTCAGAGACCAAGAGCGCACCAAAATTTAACCTGAAGTTGCATTGCAAGCCTGCTTCAGCTGGCGTCGGTCAGGAACTGGCAGGACGTGTGGCGAACTGATGTCACCAAGTGTACAAAGGACAACCTGGCCATCTTCACGGATGCCAAGGGAAAGCAGAGAACCAGGACAGCGACATAAGAGTTACTCACTGAAGCTCAAACTTCTCGAATTTCCGTGTATGTTCGCTTCCTGCAGCAGTGCTTCATATCTCGGCCCACTCCGTCTGCTTTCCAAACAAAAGCCAGGGCTGTAAGATAGCGTTACGGGAAACTTCTGGCGGGCGAGGCTGCTTCTAACCCGACGAAAGGGTACAACCCAAGCCCCAAGCTTTGAAGCCCATGCCTGCAAGATCCTCCAATCCTCGAATGTTTGCGAAACCTTACGGCGATTCGTGAAACGGCGGTCGCCCCTGGTGTTGAGACTTTCGTGGCCCGTTGTGCACATGCATAGCATATGCTTGCCTGGATGCCCCCGATATCAAAGGTGTAAAAGTGTCAAGTGTGAGGGCTGCGGGCTGCCCACTCTCGAGGAGGTTGGAGGAGATGACGAAGATCCTTGCCGACCGGATCGTAGCCAAGACAGCACGAGAGGAGGCAGAGAAGAGGGCAAAAGAAAGCAAGGGGAAGGCGGGCCAAGCTTCTGGCCGAAAGCTCTCAAAGAAAGAGAGGATGAAGCAGGAACTCAGTGGACACCTGGGCCAGATGTTCGGTGAGTTGAAGGACAGCTCGGTGGCCGACGCCAAGAAGGATGAGGACCGCGGCAGTGTGAAGCCTCCACAGGGAGTGCGCGAGGGCGGCCATTCCTCCACAAAGGCAGTGCATCAATCGAACTTAACTCGAGTATCCTCCACAGCTTTTCCATCTTGCTACCCTGAAGGAGATGTACCAGGCTGTCTTCCAGCAAGGAGAGCAGATGATCCACCGCATAGCCCAGCAGGCTAAGCTGCCGATGAACACCGAGGCAATGCAATGGTGCGACAAAATGTGCCCCCATCCATCCCCGTCCACCTCCTCCTCCGCCTCCTCCTCCTCTTCCCCCGCCTCCTCCTCCTCCTCCTCTTCCCCCGCCTCCTCCTGCTCCTCCTCGTTCACCCGTAAGCAGCACACATCGGCACACGTCGGGGCCTTGAGGTGACGCTGCGCGAGTGGTGCCTGGTCTGCCTTGGGTTTTCAGGTGTGTTCTGGTGGAACGATTTCAAAAGCTTGTAAAATTGCTTCGCATGACGCATTCAAGCTTTGACGGAGCGCAACGACAGCCTCTTTGTGACTGTAGCATGTGGAGTAACAGGGAGAAGCCGAGTCACCCGCATACAGACAAGTTTGAGGTGCGACATGGCTTGGCGTGCTGGCCGATTTTCTCCATTGGATCCGGAGCCCATACTTGCATGTCGAGTGAGTCGCGCCTAGCTACATAGCGCAAAAATGCGACAAGATGTTGATTCTCTCTTGGCTTGGCAGGACAAGCCGAAAAAGGAGGAGGACATCCCCGACCAGGATGCAGAGGCATCGGAGACGAAGTAAGCGAGTAAGACAGTCTCTAAGTGCAAGCCATGTGCGACTATCGAGTCGTCTTACTTGCTGACTGCAGTTGTTGAATTCAAAATTAAAAGATGACGAGGACCCCCCGCAAGGCGAACTATGACATGCTTCGCTCAACCTAAATTAAACACGGTCGACAACGGTCCCTCCTCGCAGCCTGCAACTTCTACCTGCAGCGGTCGACTTCGATGCCTACATTGCTGCACATTGAGGGCAACCGTCATGAGAGCCGGCGGGTTCTCTCCAGGTCGCAGCAGCACAGCAGTCGGCCCCCTGGCTGCTGCAAGAGTATCCCGAGATTTGTGGAAGCTCTGCGCCGGAGAAAGATGGGAAACGGCCACCTGCAGTTCAGGCAGTTTTTTGCAAGTAGCAGAAAGAAAGGAGCTCGAGAGCTTCAGACGTTGCAGGGAGCTCTCCAAGCACTCACCCGGGCAAATCCAGAACGAGCTGCCCAGGCTGGAGCCTGAGCTTTATCACTTCTCTTGCTCTGTCACAGGAGCAGGGATGTCGGTGAATCAAGGTGATCGATGAGCTTGCCTCAAAGTCGGATGCCAGGTTCCTAGCCACCTTGACAGGTCCAAAGATGAGGCTCAGCGTGCCATAGTGGCGCAGGGCAGCACAAGGAAGTGCGCAGTGGCACAGCGTGCAAGTCCAACTCGGAATCTAACCAGCTATGCCTCCAGCAGCGGTGCATTCGTTCGTACTGTTCGTGTTTCTCCAGACAGTCAAGTTCACAGGTTCGGAACCCATCGGCATTCGTGTCCTCAACGATCGCGAAGGTCCAGTCTGCATGCTGACCCATGTGCAGAAGCCTTCTCGAGAGTGCTGCCTGCCAGTACCCTATGCTGCGCCCACATCTACGGCAGCAAAATGCCAACTTGATTTCCGGTGCAGCTCCGCCCAGGCTGGTGCTGAATACTTGAGATTGGCATTGAACTTTCTTGAAGTGCTCTGGTCTCCAGATCTGCAACGATAGCTCAGCAAAATGTCAAAATTTGTAACTGGAAGTTTCGGCAACGCTTAATCGCTGCGCTTCCAGGAGTATCTACGAGGTGCTTCAAAGACACCCTGGTCTGGAAAAGGCCTGACGAGTTCGAAATCTGGGAAGCATGATCGTCTCGTTGCCCGCCAGGCACTGGACGCAATCGCCTTGCGGCGCTTGGAGGAGGCACTGCCTGGGGCAGGAACACCGTTTTGATCATGGAAGTTAAGCGAGGTAGCCGCAGAGCCCACGCAATGTGGTCCAGCATGACTCTTGCAGTGCACATAAAAAGGTTGCACGCAAAGCTGCTTTGTTCGAAATGCAGTCGAAAGCTGTCTAAATTTAAAGCGTTGTCTTCCGCAACTTTTCTGCCATGCCTGCCAGAAATGCATGCTGGGGCCTTGTTCACAAAAATGCGTTTCAACCGCGGAACCCCAAAAGGCTCGATCATCACAGCCTGGTATCGCCTGACAAAATGTCCCCGGCTCCAGCTTGAATGAAAACTTGCACTATCCGGCGCAAACATGCGGACCCGATAGACAAGAGCCCAAATCCCATCAAAAAGAATTTACGTATGTGAAATGAAAGACACCCCAATTATGACGAACCTGGGCCGTTTGTAGGTGGACATCGCTCGGGCAGCGGACCTCCTCGACGACCTAGCGCAGCGGCGGGGCGTAAAGCACCCAGCAAGGCGAAGGTATGTTCTGATTTTCAACTTTCGGATGGGTGGTCGCTGCGAATGCAGTCGTGCTACATCGCATGCAAGCAGGCAATGGTGCAAATGCTGCTTTCTCTCCTCGCCCTTCCGGAAGACATGCTCAATCCGGATCCCTTAACCTGCCGAAGCACCCAAACAACCCAAGCCATGAGAAGCGCAGACTGCTTTCCCCTCAAGCCTTGATGCCTTAGGGCCCAAATTTCGCACCGCCCTCTTGAGGTCCGAAATCCGTCCGCGTTCATCGTGCACGTGCTCGGAAGGTTCGACCGGTTGTCGCAGTCCGGAGTTCCTACGAAACTTCTGCGACCTTTGTCACTATTCAAAGGCTGGAGCTTCTGCTCCATCGTCGTCATGTCCTGCAAGTTGAGCTTTGTCTCTGCTGCTGCTGAGCTACATGAACCGTCATAGTACTCTTGATCATTCAACAGTCAGTCTCACGCGAGCAAAATCAATCAACAATCGTTGTCGCTGGAAAGACTTTAGGTGGCCTGGTGGTGGCCAGGCAAACAGCATTCACCAGAGCCGGATGTAGAGTTGAAAGTGATGCGCGAAGTTGCAATACTCATAAACTTTCTGGGCCCAACCTCAGCCCGGCCCAAGTCTTTCCAGATACTTTTTTCCGTTGCACAGTGTTGTGAGAGGGTTTCGTCCAGCAACCCCACCCTGGAGTCGACTTTAGCAGACTTTAGCAATGTCTTGCTCCGTTAGATTGGCAAGAGATGCGAAATATGCACATTTCATCCTTTGCTATGTTATGCTTCTGCATCCAGCACGCAGCATTCATGCCTCTCCTCGCAGTTCAGCCTTCGACAGGGCCAAGTGTGTATGACCAGCAAACGAGTCGATAGCACGCATGCATGCGATCGATGTAGTTGAAGTCTGCATTCCTGAAGAATGAGGGTGGTAGCATCGCAGGTCCACTCCGGCGTACGATGAGCAAGAAGGGGAGGATCGGTTTTTGCAACAGTCGCCGCTTGTGCTGCTCATTCACTCGTGCCGCATCCTCCTGTCTGGTGGGCAGGTAGACCGACTCCTTCAGTCATATCCTCACATCCGTGAGCGCTTGGACAGCCAGGCCCGAGGGGATCATCTGCTGAGGTTTCAGGTACCAGTCTGCAAGCTGCTGCAGCTGCAGTTAAGCGAGCTTGGGGATCCAGAAAAGTATGGCTTTGTCTTGATACGCTTCTTGACACCAGAGGCTACATCTGATTTTGCACAGGCAGATAAGACGCCAGCAAATTTCTGAAGTGAAGTGTTAAGGCCCTCATGAAGCTGTCCGATGCCGTCCCGATCCCAGCTCATGCTCGCTTACTTCCATCTGCTGCAGCCTGCATGAGCACTGGCGACACCGAATAAACAGCTCGTTGACTTACAAGCCTTACGACGAGTTTGCAAGTACTTGTGCCACTAGGACCCGGCACGTGTGGAAGAGATTCTGCAGGACTTCCGGAAGCCAAGCGTTCCCACTTGAGCAGTCATTCCCCCGCATGTCTTTGCGCTGATCTGTTGCAAGCTATCTTTGCCTGTGTGCAGGATATGGACAGCAAAGGTGATGTGCGCAACCCCTCTGCATTCATAGTCAAGGCAAGCCACCTGAAGCGATCAATGTGTCAGTGCTGCAGCAGTTGGAAAACGGCAGCCACGACAACTTGAAGAAAAATCCAGATTCCTATCTCTTTCGTGCATGCAGTGTTCTGCACAGGCGTTGTCCTCCTTCCCTGCACCGCAGCAGCCTCGTTTAGAGTTTGGTGTTCGCAAGTGTACCGGTACCGGTGCAGAAGACTGCTTGACATCGGCAACTTGCACCAGATTCGCCGGACACATTGATTCTTATGCGACCAGCTGCAAAGGCTACTGTAGCTGAGGAATTTTGTGCGACCGCTAGCCAATTTGGCCAGTGAATTTGGCTATGTGGCATGCTTGAAGACAAGGCGCCACGATGCCAATCTCTCCCATCGGCTGCTGGGTACTTACAGCGTTGGCTATGCACGTGGAATGGGTGGTGATTGTAAACACCGGGGGCTGTTGCTTTGAGATTGACAACTTATTACCGGAAATTGGCTGCTGCGTAGACCCTGTGCGAAACAAAAGGCTGCCGGAACCGGAGATGCAGAATGTGGGCGATTCAGAGATGTGCCTTGGAAGCACGATGGCGACATGCTTAATGATAGGCTCGGAGCGAAGTGTAACAGCTGCTTCGAGGACGATCTACGACGTGCTCGACAGCCACCCCGGCTTGCAGCAGGCCAGGGTCAAATTCCACGTTTGCCGGAGTTGTCTGCGTGCATCCCGGCGCCAGGCACTCGATGCAACCGCCTTGCAACGTTTGGAAGAGGCCTTGGCTTTGGGGCACAAGTTTGGCGGGGGAAGGTGTGATGCAGGGCGGCGGCACCCTTATGCTGGCTTCAGCCGGCTGCGCAGTTCTTGACAGTTCTTGTTGCTGTGCGGCATGATAAAATGGCTGGAAGATCAGCCAGACATCAGCGTCACGACAGCGCAGCTGTGCCAGCTGCACGAAAGCAGCACAGTGAAGCCGACGCAGTGTGGCTGCTTCATGTGCATAGCTGCAACAGGTTGTAACCCGCTCTTGCAGCAGCCCGTCGTGCATTCAATCACCTCCAAAAGTGCAACTGCAGAACGATGATCATGACAACTCTACCCAGAAGGAATTTGCCGTCACATGTGAAAGCCCAAACGAATACTTGCGTCGCTTGCAGGCAGATTTCGCGCGAGCAGCCGATGTCATCGAAGAGCTGGCGCAGCGACCGGATGCCGTAGTCCCAGCGAGGATTTTTGTCTACGTCCAAGACCGGGTTGAGTTGGCTGCCTTGCGACGGCTTCATGTGGCACGGCTGCCTCTGCGAGTCCGCTCAGACGCGCTGCCTCACCGAGGTGCGAAATTGCTCGGCCTTTGTCGTGCAAGCACTGAGGCAAGGACAAGGGAACATCATGTGAGTGGTTGTCAGCTTGCCAGACTTTGGCGATCGGGCTCCTCTCATTTGGAGGTCCTAATTTTTCAATGTTGCACTGTGGCATAGGTAGACGTATTTTGGAAAATAGCATAGATTTGCTCTGTCTGGCCCACGGGTATTGAACCGGCGAAGCCTTCGTGGTATCTGACTTGGGACTTCCGCAGAGCGGAAAGAAGGCATGCTGTGGCTCCGACCTACGATGACCACGATGGGGAGGCCTGGTCTACTTGCGCCGAGTGTCTTTGCTGACCAAGTTATCCTGCCTTGATCCATGTCTTGATGTCCTGGTCTGCCCGTTCTGCAGGTAGACCGGATTCTTCTGAGATATCCGGCCATTCGTGGGCGCTTGGATAGCCAGGTGGGCACATTTGCTGCCACATGGTTTCCTTGGCAAGATGCAGCAAGCTGCTGCGCAGATGTTACACCAGTCGGAGGAGTTGACGACTTGTTGCCAGACATGCGAACGGTTGTTCCGTCCAGGCCCTAATGAAGCTCTCTGACTCTGTTCCGATCTCAGAGTTTGTATGTGTTCGTTATTCGCCGGGTCCCAAAAAGCCCCAATGTGCACGTTTGCCTCGCCGACTGGCCAGCTCGTGGCCGCTTCAGCAGCTGCATCTGTGTAACACCTGAGTGAGTGGTAGAAGCGGACCGATAAAATACACCCTGCCTTGCGCACGCTTGAGGACCCAGCGCGGGTGGAAGAGATTCTGCAGGACTTCCGGAAGCCAAGCGTTCCCACTTGAGCAGTCATTCCCCCGCATGTCTTTGCGCTGATTTGTTGCAAGCTATCTTTGCCTGTATGCAGGATATGGACAGCAAAGGTGATGTGCGCAACCCCTCTGCATTCATAGTCAAGGCAAGCCACCTGAAGCGATCAATGTGTCAGTGCTGCAGCAGTTGGAAAACGGCAGCTACAACAACTTGAAGAAAGATCCGGAGTCCTATCTCTTTCGTGAATGCAGTGTGCGGCACAGGCGTTGTCCTCCTTCCCTGCGCCGCAGCAGCCTCGTTTAGAGTTTGGTGTTCGCAAGTGTACCGGTACCGGTGCAGAAGACTGCTTGACACCGGCAACTTGCACCAGATTCGCCGGACACATTGATTTCTCATGCGACCAGCGGGGCATTCCCACCAGTGGGGCTATGTTCAGGGGCATGTTGCAGCATGTTCAGGTTGCTTGAGGCCCATACCCTCTCACGACAGATGAAAACGTCACAAGACCCACAGGACGTTGTGCTTTGAGGCGTCACGATGCCAATGTCCCTTATCGGCAGCTGGGCACTTACAGCGTTGGGTATGCTCGTGATCTGACGGCTCCGGCTTGAGCGTGGGGTGATGGTGAATGCCGCTCCTTCCTCCTTGCAACAGTGCCTGTAGAGGTTGGAGGCAAGGGGAAAACTCCGCAGTTCTGAATACTGGGATTGTCATCTTCAGTGCACAGATTGCACACGAAAGAGGACTCCGGAACCGGAGATGCAAAAGATGGGCAACTCGTGGATGCACCTTGGAAGCACGACAGCATCATGTCTCTGGAATGTCTATATTCAAAGAAGCCATGCTGGTGTAAGTGGTTCCAAAGGGAAGCGTGTGACCTGCTCACTAAACCATGCGTCCCCTACCAGGGCCCGAGTGCGTCATCGGTCACAGTTGCTTCGAAAAGTATCGGACAAACATTTTTGAGATGGAAGCGAGAGGCAGCATGAGTGGCCCCCATTTTCAGGCGGCAGGACGAAAGTCCGCTCCATCAGCTGCCGGACACTTACGAAGAAAAGCCTCCACCCATACAGGCGAAGCGGCGGCACTTTGCAGCAATTGGGCAGCTCCAGGACCCAAACTAAATGAAGATCTTACTCGTATGGGGCGCGGGAAGGGGCACTATGCAAAGAGACTGGTCCCCTACTGAAATCTCCGTCCCGTGTGCCACTACCCGCCAAGTGAAGAAAAAAAAGTGCCACGCAGCACGGTCCCCCGTATGTGTACAACACCTACCCTTGTCTCAAGTCTTATCCGTGGTTCCACGCTCAGTACAATTATGTGAGAGTTTCACAAGATAAGATTTAAAGAAATCCGTGTACTCGCGGATTTTAGAAGTCCCAGGTTGAGCTCAGATCCTGGGCTCCGGGAAGCACTTGACGACGGAGCGATGCACGCCTTGGAGGCTGTGGCCCTTTTCCCAGAGTTATTTAAGTAGAATAGGGTTTTGGGGCCAATTATACTATAACTATAACTAGGAACCCCCCCAAATAGTATTGGTAACTATTCACCAAGAGTTGTATGAAGGACCTTCAGGACTTGCGCCTCGCTGATGCGTCTAAGCTTCAGTGCCATGATGCTTTTGCTGCAGCTTTATCTGGACCTGTGGCGCCATCACGTGAAGTCCTATGATATGTGGGGCATATATCTATTTTTATATATGTGAGTACATACATGTATACATACATACAGACATATACGTTCATAAATACATGCATGCATGCATACGTACATACAGACAGACAAAAGGCAATCTTGGTCCCGACCTGGGGCAGCACAGCTGAAACTGGATCTTCGGATTGCACCACTTCAGCCAGCCACTGAACATTCATCACGGTTGCTGCTTGGTGCTGTGTAGGGCTGGTGCTGGCGTGGAGCTCCAGCCTAGCTCCAGACCACCCTGCACCCCTCTCCGGTTCAGTTGGCGTCGCAGGGGCCGTTCTGCTAGCCCGGCATGTTGTCTACGTACGCGTCATGTTTCGACGCACCCCAACCTCGATTAGCACCCCCGATGCAGGTCGAGCTCGCCGGTGATAGGCTACAGTGGCATAAACTGCCCGACACGGCTGTTGACACGTAAACTATACCTCCGAAACGATGTGTCCCTGCGAAATGGCGGTCTCTGCGGCGAGCTCTGGGACATGGCGTTCCATGGCCACTTCCTGCCCTGTCTGTCGGAGTGGTGGATCATACAGTTTCCAAAAGGAGCATCAAACTTGTAGCTGTCAGGCTACATGCTTACACAGCGCGATACTATGGGCCGTTCCTCATAAGTTGATGTTGGAGCGGGTCTTCGCGGTACAACTTCTCAGACGTAGATTTGCAGGAGTGCTTAGGTGAGGTGCACCGTCTTTTCCACAGTATGCTTACAGACCACGGCATTTGCAGCGAATTTAGTGTGATGCCCCGAACTTGGTATCCACATGTCACCGCTTTGTTCATAGTTTCCGGTCCTGACATGAGCTCAGGGTTGGAGGGGCAGGCAAAGCTGTAGAGCCGTGCTTCAAAGAAGTAAGTAATTGGATGAGAGCCTTGGATTTCTTTGTTCATGCACTTGGGTCAAATTCCAGCTGACTTGGTTGGAGGCATGCGATCCAGAGCGAGCTTTGGAGGTGGTTGCACTCTCCTTACACGAAGGGGCTTACGCTTTCTGTTGCTTGTCGCGGCGGCCCATCGGGGTCGCGTCAGCGGTCATGCAAGTCAGACCCGCCCTCATGGTGGTCGTCATGGGCGGTGTCGGATCAGCACGCTTGTCGTCGTTGCCGTCGTGTTTTGCAGTAGTGCCACAAGCAAAGGCTTGAAAAGCATAAGAAGAAGCAGCAGCAGTCACAGTCGGAGTAGGGGGAGAGGCACGACGAGTTGGCAGAAGCAGCAGCAGCAGCAGCAGTAGCAGCAGTTGCAGTGGTGGTAAAACATTGTGCCGGGAGTTTAAAACAATTATTATGTGGAACCATCTTGGTAGTCTTGGTCAAGCTTGGTCAAAAGCAAGGTTGCCAGGAAACTTGCCCCACCTGCTGGTCGACTAGTTTATCTTTTAGACCAAGATTGACCAAGCTTGCTGGCAATCTTGCTCCCCCCCCCCAGGTGGGGCAAGTGGGCAAGATTGCAAGATTGCTTGGCAAACTTGCTAAAGTATTTTTCTAGATTCCCGGCACACTGTAGTGGTGGTGGTAGTAGTAGTAGCAGCAGCAGCAGCAGTAATTGCAGCGGTAGTACCCGTCGGCGTCGGTTGTCGTCGTCGTCGTCGGCGTCGTCGTAGGAGCAGGAGTAGGAGTAGGAGTAGGAGTAGTAGTAGCAGTAGTAGTAGTAGTAGTAGTAGTAGTAGCAGTGGTAGTGGAAGAAGTAGGAGTACGAGTAGGAGTAGTAGTAGCAGCAGCGATAGTAGTAGTAGTAGTAGTAGTAGTAGTAGTAGCAGTAGTAGTAGTAGTAGTTGTTGTTGTTGTAGTTGTAGTAGTACTAGTAGTAGTAGTAGTAGTAGTAGTAGTAGTAGTAGGATTAGTATTAGTATTAGTATTACTAGTAGTAGTAGCAGTAGCTGCAGCATTTGCAGTTGCTGTAGAAGCAGGGGCAGCCCCAGCAAAAGATCAGTGTACAAACCGAAGCCGTGCTAGTACAAAAGATGGTACGCCGAACATACATATGCAGCGCAGGCGGAAAGGTCCAAGACAGCTATCATGCGTGGCATCCATGGTCCATGATCCCACCAAGGAGGACATCATCAAAAAGGGCGATGCCAAAGCCCCATACCATTGGCATGCTGGGTCGAGCAGAGTAGTGCAGAGACATACCCTTGTGCATTCCGTAGTAGCGCCAGCATCTCCTCGCACTCTGTCGCTTGACCTGACCCGCTGTGACCTGCAAAGGTTCGCAATCCGTCAGCCTTTGTAGCCGCCAGCTTGGCCAAATATCCGCAGTTCAGAGCTCGGATTTCCTCCCGCAGTTTGATCGCGCCTCTCGAAGAAGTCGTTACCAGAGTCTTTGCAAGCAGCAGTACTTGAGGCAATTGCATCATACTCCCAGTTACTTACTAACGTCATCATGTTTTGCCTCCGAGGACGGCAGTAAGCACTTGGAGGGTGTCGCTGCATTCGGGATGTCTGCTGAGAGTTTTTCACAGAGAAGCGTGATAAGCATGCACGAGCGGAACACAGAACCACTGAAACCAGATTGGAGGCTCCCATCTCATTGTTCTAAGACGCCATACTCATGCAATGTGGTCCGGGGCTCCCAGACCCGAAGAAAAACCAAAGTTCTAACTCTGGGAGGGCTTATGTGACCCGAGGATGCCAAGGGTGTTACTTGTGCACCTGTAGATGGGGTTTTGGGGGATGCAGCTATTTTTTTTTGCTACTTTTCTTTCGGATTGCAGTGTATGTTCGGTAGATGGGCAAGCGCTTGTCGGCAATGACTGATTTGATTGCACCCTAAGCGATGCGTTCAGTTTGCTTCAGCCAAGACCAGGTTTTACGGCTGCCCTTAGTTAGCGAAGACTCAAGGATCCTTGTAAGGATGTTTGATCGCTAGCTCTGTGAATGCGGAGCACGCTGATCTTGCCGCTTCCCGGTTTTCTCTGCAGACTCTATTTCAGGCCTCGTGGTACGCGCTCAGAGGAACACTGGAGGCCGGGCTGTGTTTCCAGGCATTTCGACAAGACTTCTTGTGTTGATGCTGCTTCTCCAGACAGCAAGCACCTCACAGAGACCGACGTGAGTGATATCCGCACCGTTCGCAAGCATATAACATGCAACCAGCTGCCCACAGCTTAGGCCAGTGCAGCCACCACCGCCCGTGGCAATGCCCCACCCTTTGGTGAGATCGTCGCCCGGGGCCAAGTGTGACGTGATGCTCAGCATGTTCTCTTGTTGTTCCCACCTGCCACCTGCAGTTTCAGCTTCTTCTGATGTCTCCGAGACTTTGCGCCTTGCATTGCCTTTTGACATTCATCTTCCTTTTCCTGTAGGCCACTACGACGAAGACGACGACGACCTACCACTACTCCTGCGACTACTACCCCTACTGCAATGCCACACTGCTACAGCTACTGCAGCTCCTGCTACTAGCACTCACTACTACTACTACCACCACCACTACTACTACTACTACTACTACTACGACTACTACTACCTACTAACTACTAACTACTCACTAGTAACTAATAACTACTAACTACTTACTACTAACTACTAACTACTAACTACTAACTACTAACTACTAACTACTAACTACTAACTACTACCTACTAACTACTAACTACTAACTACTAACTACTAACTACTAACTACTAACTACTACTACTA